CGGAGTCTGCATTCTATGTTCCCACAGAGTTTGTAGGCATTTATTTGCTTTGGATGTGGAACATAAGGTGAGCTTACCTACGTCAACTCCCCTTTAAGTAAAAGGGTCTCACCTTAGAGTACCTGACAAAGGATCAGGAATAAAAAGCTCTCTTCTCTTGGAAAACTATTCATTCAGCATTTCTAACCAATTCATGGTCTAATAACACTTAACAGAATAAACTCTAGATTAGCACTTACTAGCTTTAGATTTTCCTTTAATATAAACTCAGATTGTGTTCCCTCGATATCATTTAGAAACTGAGGTGCCCAGCCCAGAGACAAACCTTCCTGCTCGTTAGCTTCTTGGCCCCTTTCCTCCACACAGACCCAAACTCTGCCGGAAAGGATGAGATGTGTTTAAGAACTGAGTGCTCTAGTTCCTTCATTTTGCGAGGAGTTTCACCTCACCTGTGAGGAGCTCTGAACTGCACCCTCACTCTCTTGCCTAAAAACATGGTAGATACGAGTTGAAAAGAACTGGTTTTCCTTCTGTCTTTAATATCTGGCAAGAAGGGGCTTAATTTTCTGGCATAAATTCCTTTCCTGGATTCATGCCCACAGTCATGGAAGAGTTTTGCTATCAACCCTCTTAAGTTTGATTGATTTGTCATTTTCTGATGCTGGAATGAGTTTGTTAGGGGAGATTTATGAACACATTACCCTAACTGGCAAGAGCCTTGAGTGCTTGAGGATTTCCTGAAGAGACACTCCAAGAACCTTTTGTGGCTTTTTGTTTTTCCTTAGGATGTGGTGTGATTTTCATGGTCTATTTGTTATAATGCTTCCCTGACGTAAAATACTCATACAGAGTAAATAACCTCTCCCTGAAATATTTTGAATCTTTCAATTCTGGAAGTCTGAGTTTAAGCTCCCTGCTTCAAAGACACTGTGGACAAATTATCCACTGGAAGAGACAGCCAGTTCCTACTGGGATTAAACAGTACTTTTTACTTATGTATACACATTCTTAGCATGCCTGAGTACACAGATTTGGTCTTTAGATATTTTGATGCTATGTTGTTGACTGCATAAAAATTAATTACTGGTAGAACTTTTTGTTGGATTATGTTTTTCATGCATCTTTGTCCCATTTAGTGCTTTTTGCTTTATTTTGTCTGGTAGTAATATTGCTTTGCCCCTTCTGCAGATTTGGTAGCATTTACATGGTGTTTCTTTGTCCATCCTTTTATTTTCAATCTCTCAATATCATTCTGGTATAAGTGTCTCTTATAAACAGCATAGAGCTGGGTTTATATTGTTTTACCCTACGTAAGAGTATCTATCTGTCTTTTAAAAAAGACATTTAACTCATTCATATTTATTGATTTGGACATATTCCTGCTACTTTATTTCATATTTATACCCACTCATTTATTATGTTTGGCAAACATTTTCTCTACTTTCTTGTTGCTTCTCAGATATAGAGTTCTTATAAATTGCATTTGAGTTGTGGTTGTATCCATGGTGATGTTGATGAATAACGGAAATGTACCTTTTGATACCATGCCCATAAGAAAGAATGCTACTTGTCTTGAAGTCAATGATGTTTGAACTCAGTAAATCTTCCTGACAATGACTGCCGTAGGGGTCATGCTTAGTTGTGATTGGATTTAACTACAATGACGGTACTCTGGACTTGGGGGTCGGCCTCAGGTTTGAATTCGCATCCCCACCACACACATGTATGCACTATGTGACTGTGGATATTTAATTAACCTCTGCACCCGCTAATTTCCTCATCCGTTAAAATCCCGGGGTGATTGAGAGAATTAACTGGAGCAACATAGGAAAGCACTTTCCCCAATGCTAAGCTTATGTTAGAGTCTTAATAATGTCTACATAAAAATAAAACCCCATCTCTCTTGGTTTGTGGTGCGTTTCCTTTTTGGAGCTGGGGTCTGGTTGGTATGCAGGAAAAGGAGAAGGCATGTGAGCTATGTCATCTGCTTGTCATCGCAAGAGGAGTCAAGTGGCAGGGCACGGACTGGAGCACATCCGGAGCACTGGGGTGGGCCTGGGAATTCCACAGTGAAGACTTTGAGATAAGGAAGCACCAAGGGTGGGGGCCAATGCATGGCTGGGCTTTTGCTCAACAGGGCCAGGTTCTTATGGGAAGAGAGATGAGAAGGGAGTGTGTCTTCTAGAGCCACCAAATAAGGAAAGACATCCTCTCTCCACTTCACCCGTGTAGATTTCAGCAACCAGAGCAACTCACCCACACCACCTCCGTACCCCCTAAATATGGTTTTGAAAGGGACCTAGGAAACCCTTACACAAACAAATCAAAGATGCTTTTTATTTTTTGATAAAATAATTAGAGGTTAGAGATTTCTTACATCTCGCTTTTCCCCCTTTTCCTTCTTTTGCCATACAAAATCTACCTAGAAAAGAGGACAGCTGTCCTTTGAAGTCAGGCGCTTTAAACATCACAAAGCTCCCATGACCCCAGCCCCCTCCCATGCCCTGCCCAGTGTGATTTGTCTAGGTTGGTGGTTCTGATCTGTTACTAACCCAAACTGACTCCCGAGGGAGCACTTGGGTTGTGCCTCCAGAGGTCATTTCCTTGCCAAACATTCCTTTTCAGTGAGAGGACATTTTTCATCCCCTGGTAAACAATCCCCAGCCCGCACAAAGCCGAGAAGGATGCCTGTCCCCCTTCACGCTCTCCTCTTAGTCCTGAGCTGATTCCAACCCTAGAGGCGTCAGTCTGCTCTATAAATTCCTTTGTGAAACCTGAGAGCCTCGGCTCCCAAGGAGAGCAGAGACCTTGGAGGGGTTACAGTTTCCCTCCACCCAGCAAGATCTGCTTGCGTTGGCAGCAGAAGAGTATGTCTTTCCAAACAGGCTCTTCCATTTCTTTGTGAATTCAGTTCAGAAAGCACTGCCAGGCTTCTTCCAAGTGGGAGAGGTAAGATCACCAACCTTGCAGGTCTACACAGGAAAGCGATGACTTACCTCGGGGACTTTTCTAGTTAAAACCGTCTGAACCTCTTTTTCAGTCACTATTAAGAGGGGCATGGCTCCACTTACCAGGCAGCAGGGGAGGTGGAGGCTGGGGTCTGCCTGAGCTTTTCTTTGCCTTTAGTTTCGATTACTGGTTTTTTTTTAAGTGTGGTGTGTGTGCGTGTGAGAGAGACAGAGAGACAGAGAGACAGAGAGAAGAGACAGAGACAGAGAGAGAAAGGAGAGAAGAAGGGAGGAAAGAGAAAATACAGTGAAAGAAAGAGAAGAAAGAGAAAGAGGAAAGAAAGAAACCTTTATCTGGCTGGCCTTCAGCTGAGCCCCCACAGTCTGTCACACACCCTGGAATTCCTACCACCTCCCTGACCGTCTCCTCCATCAACCCCACGGGACATTTTTGTTTTATTCTAGCCATTTCTTAATATATATTTTTCTACAACCCCAGATTTTGGAAATAAGATAATAAGTCCTCAACTGGTAAAATCTTAGAAAACTCATCTTTTGAAGACAATATCTTGTTTTGGTGACATTAAAGAAGATAAAATGAAAAAAGAAATCAGCTGTTGCCTTGCCATAAGACTTTCAATTTCCCCCATTTGCACGTGGGGTCTCTTGGGTCTTGTGACCTCAGAGTTTTAAGAAATGTTCAGGTTCGCCCTGAATCGGTGGGGTGCCCGAACCCATGTGTGCTGACAGATACCTACAGTTTTATACTCTCATCAGAAACATCTTGCCACTTCCAGTTTGATCGTGGCGGGTGGTGAGAAAGCAGGTCACGAGTAAGCCATTCTGGCTGAGTGACTCTTCTTTCCCCCAACCTTCTGCCCAGCTGGCAGCACCAAAAGTGGATGCAGCTGAGAGAGCACTGCCTGCAGGAGCCTCATTCTGTGGCATTCCCACGGCTCCTGAGGGAGGAGCTCTGAAAAGCACTGACTGGCAGGCAGGGCGCTGTGTCTGCAGACACACAGGCTCCCTGGCTTCTATCCCGCCTTCTTCTTCTTCTTCTTTTTTTTTTTATTAAACATCTGTTTATTGAGTACCTACTACATGCCAAGGTCTGCTCTAAGTGCTTGGCATACATCAATGAGAGAAACAGAGAAACAAACATCCCTTGCTTCAAGGAGCTTAAGGTTTAAGGTGCCTATTTTACTTTTTATTATTTAAAATTTTTGAAACATTGAAAAAATTGAAAGAATAGTACAATGAGCATCTGTATGCTCTTCACCTAGATTCAATTGTTAATATTTTACAGTTGTGCTTTTTTTCTCAATTGTTTTCTCTATACACACACACACACACACACACACACACACACACGCACACGTGTGTGTATATATATATTGCCAAACCATTTAAAAGCAGATATTTTGATACCTCGCCCCTAAACAATTTAGACTATATCTCCTAAGAATAAGGACATTCTCCTACATTACCTCAAAACTATTAGTACATATAAGAAAGCTATCATTAATAGTGTCTAAAATATAGTCTATATTCAAATTTAATTGTTCGAAGAGTGTATCTTATGGCTTTAGTTTTTTAAATTACAGGATCCAACCAAAGTTCGTGTATTTTGTTTGATTATTATATCCCCTTAGTTTCTTTGAACTAGAACGATCCCCCACTTCTTTTTTGTTTGGCATTTCAAGTCATCGACATTTTTGAAGAGTCCAATTTGTTGTCATGTTGAATATCCAACATTCTGGATTTCTCTGAACGTTGTCTCATGATTGGATTCACGTTCAGCATTTTAGGAGTAAGAATGTTACATAACTGATGGTGCGTACTTCTTATTGCAACACTTCAGGAAATGTATGTCAAGTCATTACACGGGAACAGGCTAAATAAACATTTGTTGAAAGAATAAATTATATATATGATACATGTAATTTTTCCTATAGTCAGTAAGGCAGAGACTTTAGTAATCAAAATCCTGAGACCATGATAAAAATGGCTTAACTGTTCACTACAACGTCAAGAATATATATACACATATACATAAACACACACACACACACACACACACACACACACACACACACACACATACAGACACCTAAATATATATTCGTGTAAATCTAAACCGCAGGAGGATATTCTCAATTCGGGATGGTAATTAGAATCAGCTGGAAAATTTTTTAAAATACTGATACCTAGCACTTCTCTTGATAGGTTTGGTCATTTGTGAAGTGGATACCTGCCAGGTCTCCATTGTAAAGGTGCTTTTTGCCCCTTAGTATTCAACACGTAATCTCTGTGTGATCCTATAGTACTATGATCCTTTAGTACTATCCTGACACAAAATGATAAAATGCTTTTAGTGTTCATTGATGATCTTTGCTTGAATCAATTATTTCATTGGGGGTTGTAAAACAGTGAACTTCATAATTTTATCCTTTTCTCTACATTAGCTGGCATTCTTCTATAAAGAAGAGCTTTTCCTTTTCCCTTTCATTCTCTATTTACTTATTTATATATTTTATTTATTTATTTATTTATTTATTGAGTATCACTGTGAACTCAATAGATTATTTGTTTCATTTATAAGTTATCATCATCATTCTTGTCAACACTCAAGACACCCCAAATTTGGATAGCAGGAGCCCCTTCCAGCTGCTCCTTTGAGCAAGTCCCCATTACTATGAGTACTTGCTTGCTTGTTGGCAGGGATAGCCTAAATTCATCTTGTACCTTCCCTGTCCCAGACATGGAATTAGCTATTTCTCTAAGGAATCGGAGCCTATACATATAAACCTCTGTAAAGGAGAAGAGAGACAGAAAACATGAAATAATAGCTGTATGGGTATATACTTTGAAGGAAATGGAGCAGTAGATATCAGCTATCACATCGTTGTAAAGAAAAATACTAAGATATTTTAATCTGCCCTGGAAATAGGGAGACCAAGATTTGTATCTTTACTCTGCATGTGATTTGGGAAAAGCCACCTTATTTCTTCAAGTGTCACTTATACCAATGTGTTTAATTAGGGGATGGGCTAGACAATATTGAAGCCCTTTCTGGGTTCCAAAATTTGATATTCTGAAGAGCTTAACAATATCTAGTCATAAGAATGTTTTTGAGCTGGTAGAAGGGGCTAGTTCCTGTAAGATTTTAATGGCAGAAACTTCATCTTTTAGATTTTTCTCCCTTGATCTAGCAAGACTCATTGTAAAATGTGCTCAATAAATGTTTTTGATGGTGATGGTCTTTCCTAAAGCTAGAATGAGACAAACAGACTAAATTACCAAGCTTTTAGTAAACTATAAGAAACTACACGGCAGCTAGATTTTAAGCATCAGGATGTTTACAAAGGGAGGTTTTAGTCTTTACAGTAAGAGGGTCTTGCCTGCCTGAACCTGGCCCTTCCTGATGACCAAGGAATGGAATCAGTGACTACTCAGGTTTTTACTGGCCCTAAATTTCTCTGCCTCTTGAAGAACCCATACTGAAGATGTCTTGCAGTCTTTCTCTTTTATTAGGAAATACCAAACTACATCAAGACTTTTTCCCCCAATACTCCTTACTTGAAGTCAGAAATTGCATTTTAAAAATAATTCTCTCCTGCTTTAATAAATTGGCCAAAAAGGGTAAATGGATTTTTTTTTCTATGTTTGCAGTCACAGAAGCACTTATCTCTCACCCCAAGTGGATGTTCTATGTAATTGGATGTGAAGTAATTCCAAAGTTGCATCAAAATCTTTTCATAGCGTTACCATGACAATCAGACTTAAAAAAAAAAAAAGAAAAAGAAAAAAGGCTGTAATGCAAACTCTCTATCATCCCACTGTCCATTCAGTGAAATTTCATCTTATGAAGTCAGTTCAGCTTTTCAGAAAGTTCAGGGGCAGGAGAGCGAATTATTATGCATTTACATTAGTTGATTTTCCCATTCTTACATTAGCACACCCATTCTTCTCACAGTTGTAATAGCCAGTCCACTCATCCTCATGCACAGTCTCAGAAAGCCAATTGTTAAAGGCTCTGCCTTACTAAGACTATAAGAATTAGTGCAGGGGCCTAAAAAAGAATCCATTGTTTGAGGAAATAAGAATTTTAATATAAAGTCACTGACAGCCCTTCCTGACCTTTTATTACTACCTCTTCTACACAGATTCCAGCAAAGGCAAGAATTTGGGCAGAGATTCTCTGAAGGGGAGGAAAAGAGAAGAAGCCTTTTCAAAATCTCTAATGTTTGGGGAAGTTTGGAAAAGCATATTCAAAATTACTATTGCTTTGATTTGGTTTAGGTCTCAAGTTGATCTCGACAGTTCTATTCGTATTAATAGAAGATGTGAGATTTTCATATTTATCAAATGGGAGCCTTAAAAATGGTTGAAATGCACTGGGCTGGTGAAAGCTTTACGGACCATTTTCTTTTTTAGAGCCTTTTGGAGAATCAACTTTGCTGTCAGCATGCGATGCTTGTCATTAATGCTTACTTCTACCTTTGGGTAAGTGGTTTTGAGACCTTGACAAAACTTGAGGGTCCCAGAAGTCATCCTGTTCAAAATTGCCCTTGAGTAACTTGAGGGTTTGAGATTCTGAGAGGTGAGGGGACTTCCTCAACTAGACACAGGGCAGAGCCGGAATTAAAAAAAAAAAAAGCCTTGTTTCCTTGTACCTGTCCCATCCTCTTCAGTCTCCACAGTCTCATACATACACTGCCTTCCCAGACCCTCCTCAGCTTTTGTTATAAATTGTCATTGGAAGGAGGATTTGAGATACGTGGTTGGCTAGGAAAGAATAAAAGACGCCTGCCAAGCATCAGCTAAATATTTAGCCCCACTATATGGCAGGCACTGTTCTCGGCCTATAGCAAGTGCTAGGACTCTGTCAGATCTTGAGTTGGGCCATCTATGGAAGGTCCTGTCATCGGAAGACTGGAAAATTAGCTGAAATCTGCTGCTGGAATGTAGTTTTCTTTATCTTGAAGTGAACTTTTTATGCTGGACACCGTCCGAGGACCTAAATTAACAGAAGGCTGTCTTCACTGAGTTTACAGAACAGCCTGTGTGGTTGTGTGTGCCTACTGGCTGACACGGGTTCATATGTGTGTTAGAATTTGAGTTGAGACACATTATTTACTGTAACAAGGCACGTGCTGCAAGGTCTGGGGGTCAAGACCTATAGCCTTTGCCTACCTCTACTGTCAGAGGCCACAGATACCTGCAAAAAGGAAGCATGTACTGTGTTGCTTACAGTCATGTGTGTGCATCTTCTCTCCAGAGCCTTGGAAAGAAGAAGCCTTTAATCCCTGACACTGTACTTTAAGAAGATGAAAGCAGATACCACAAACTTGCTCAAAATATCTCAGTACTTTTGGCTTTTTGAATACAGGTGATGCCATTCTTGGTTGGTGGGGGAGGGGATACAACCTTGAACATTGTTTGCTTCACTTTTATGACCTCCCTCTGGCACTTTTGAGTGTGTAACTGAACCATGGCTTGGCCCTGAGGATACTTGGATTCCTAGTCAGGCAAAGTCAGCTACTTTCCGAGCCAAGGAAGGTGAGTAGCAGCTGGGCCTGGGAAGGCTATTCAGGGGGATGGCAAAATGAGCAATTACAAGTGCAACAGCGGAACAAGGTGTCTTCCACATCAGAATCTGGTTCAAGGCCTTAGAGTCCTTCCTTTTAGTATAACGATGGGTGTTCTAAAGACAAGGAGTGTTAATAACAGTAACATTTTATGTGCTACAAAATGCCTTTGATTGTAGTAAATAAAAGTGACCATTTTGAAAAATAGCCTATACATACAGAGATAAAAGAGTGGTTAAATAGGCAAAAATATACCCACACGGAAAATAAATCCATGAAGTTGTTTAAAATAATGAGATAGGTTTGTTTATGCTGGTAGAAGACAATCCTTAAGACATATTATTGAGTGAAAAAAAAAATCAAGTAACAAATCAACAGTAAGATTGCAATTAAGCAACGTTCTGTGTTATTTTAGTTAACAATAACAAATTTATATGTTATTTATATAGTTAAGAAAATATAATGAAAAAAATAAAATGTCTGAGTAGGAGTACTTTAAAATTTGGAAAAAGGAAATTGTCCTGGGGGCTGAGACATGACACATGAACACGGATGACATCTGGCCACATCTTTCAAACCTTGAGTGATAGCAATAAAGCTTTAGGCTCTGCTCCTCTGCCCCTCAGTTTCTCCAGCTGTAAAAAGGGTTATAATTCTGGTCCCACTGAAATGCATAAATCCTGCAAGGATGGAAGGAAAGGCTCATGACGTCACTCTGGCAGCTCAGGGACCATTTCCCTACTCATTCTGGCCATAGATTGTTGCCACCAGTAATGCCTACGTGCTCAATAATTGTAGAAGAAGCTTAGAGCTTTGTTGTCTTAATTCATCTTTATGAGAAAAGGTTATGTCTAATTTGAGGCTGTGATAAAGTCAAATATACAAATTTCAGAATTAAGTGAACTTTGATAGGAAGGAAACTCCTTAAAAACAAGTGACAGAGAACTCTCCTCTAGTTGAGTAGTTTTGTTCTCAATTTCGATGAATAAGACTTATTAGAAAATATAATTTTTTATTATGCGCTGTTAGAGAACTAAATATATCTAGGGTCTTTCTCTGAAAAGCAAATCCTTTCGTGTTTTATAATGACAGACTGGATCAAGGGAAAACGGGGAGTGGAGGGGCCCGGCAGTGATTTTGCTGGTCCTGAAGATACTTGAAGATCTGCCCAACTCACTCTTTTCTTTAAGCTCATCCCTTCAATGCTTCCTCAACATTTTCTTCAAGACTTCCTGGAGTCTCCTGTATAGAACCGGTAATTAAGTGACTAGAGGAAGGAAGGGGCATGGTGAGCCATCCTACTCACTTTCACTTACACTCTTTGAGGTGATTTGAACACTGAAGAGCCTTCTAACCAGTTCTGGTTGGGCGCTGAGTGGGTCTATGTACGAACTGCCCTAGACAATGTGCTCTGGGCTCTATAATTCTCTGCTTCTGTTGGATGGAATCGAAACTCTTAAACCGAGGTGTGTGTCTGCAGCCAAGTTACTTGATGTTTCTGTGCCTCAGTAACCTCACTGCAAAATGAAAGCATTAGTCTTGCTCAGACTTTGAGAGCACTAACAGCTCTGGGGTTCCATATTCAAGAGCCTTTAACAACCTATGACCCTTCCCCAAAGATATCTCCTAATCCTCCCCTTGGTTTGGGTCTGGCCTGAGAAAAACATCATAAGAAATGGTAGGAAAAGCTTAACTGGCCACTTCTTACTTAAAGAGAACAACAAACATGGTACTAGCTATCTCCACCTCAAAGAAAACACCAGGAAATTTACTCTAAGTAAAACCCCTTTTAGGATAGAACATTGGGAGACCAGAACAGGATACAGGAGTTACTGGGAGGGTCCCTCTTTGCCAGTGTTTGGTTTGGGGAGTGAATGTCTCATTTTGAAAGTTCCAGGGAAACCATCCATGGGCTGACCAGTCTAAGGGGGGCTGAAGAGAATGGCAGCCATGTTTGTAGAGTGGGTAAGTCTGAGAAAATGATAGACACAGAAAGGTTAATAAAACATCCTAATTAATGCTCCCTCATTGATTCTCCCTTTCTCTCACTCTTCCCCCTTTTACTGAAAAAAAAAAAAGGTGGGGGAGGGAGTTAAATGACTTTGAAGGTAACCGTTTCTCCTTAAACTGCAAGGAAACCTAAATATTTTTACATAATTTAACATCTCAGAGACGGGAAACCAGAAAGAGAGATCTTTTTCACCCCTCCCCAAAGCGAAGCTCTTTGCCTCTCTGGCAATGTATTTCCAACCTTGATGTATCAGAACTACCTGCGTGCTTTGAAAAATATGGATTCCTAAGACTCACCATTAATCGACTCAGAATGCCCTGAAGGGGGCCCAGGAATCTGCATTTTTGACAAGCTCCCATAGGTGAGTCTTTTACCCATAGCTTCTGAGAACTTTGGCTCTATGACCTAATCAAGGTCATACCACTGCTAAAAACTGGTCTCATATAGTCTTTCTTGGGACCATTTAGATCCTTTTTGAATAAAAGTTGCTCCAGTAAGTATGCTGTTTTAGAAGATAGCAAACATGTCATATGCTAATTATGGCCAATGACACCATAAAACAAAAGTGCATTACTGAGTGCTTTCAATTTCTTATAATGATGGTAAGATGGCATGTCATGGGGCCTTTTTAGCCCCAGACATCACTGCAGAGAATTCCAAACAGATATAGACAAGGGCCATGTGGACTCGGATCCTTTCCTCTCAGGCTGTTTACCCATGGGAATAGGGTGTCCTGAAGCAACACTTCCCCCAAGTGAAGTGTTGATAAGTCTGGTTATCAGAAAGATATTATTGGGAGTGTGATACTCAGGGTATTTACATTTTCTTGATAGTGTTAGTCATATGAAAGCTGACAAAGAAGGTAAAAGAGCAGCGTTGTGGCGCAATATCAACAGGCAGCTGTCCCCTGGCTTCCCGATAAATAGGATGACTCGCATTGCTGAGCGGTGTGGTCACTGCCAGAGGAATGGCCCTCTCACATTTCTTCTTGATTCACATATTCAGTGGGGTTACTTATCATCCCCTCCCTCTTCTGCTTCCCAGACACTAAGTCTGGGATGAAAATTCACCTGCCTCTGAGTTGGCCAGTGGTGGGGGCTGGGATGTTACTTGGGTTCCCAGGTTGGAAGATTATCTCACCCAGCCCTAGCTATATAAGCTGACCGGTGTGGAGGAGCTTAGCAGGGCCAACTCAAGCGATTCATTCCACAAGAGAAAAACATACAGGCGAACTTGAGGCCAACACGATGATGCTGCAAGTACAAGAGCTGGTACGTGAGACATTATTTTTATGCAATGAAAACTGGTTCGGTCTTGGTTTTTATTGAAAATTGAAACATCCTTTTCTTTCAGGCATAGTGCACAGGTACTCTGAAAATGTCATATATGAAAAATGGTTGGTTTATGTGATGAAATTAGAGAAATTGGAAAAATGGAGCTGGCAGGAATGAATTTCCTACATATTTCCTATTTATTATCTTCTCCTTTGGTTTTATTACTGGAGTGTAGAGTCACATGTAATTATCAAAATGCTTTAGGGAAGAAGTTCTATTGCAAGAACATATGGCTGAAAACTTTACAAGTCAAGGCCAAGAGTCATCAAAAGTACCTAAAATGGAAGAATTTTAAATAATCAGAGGGGGTTGTGGTTTTCCTAGGAGAAACTAAGCAGATTAAAAGTAGATTTAAACATATCAATCTAATCTAAACCTTGATTTAACTAAGACAGCAGGACAAGCACCTGAAAGTGATTCCTGGAACATTGGAGCAACGCGTCGCAGCCTGAGATCTGACAGTGTGCTGCATGGAGGTGGCTGTCACCAGGGAGGAAGGACCAGAAACCTCCTGCAGCATCCACTTGTAACTAAGCAGATTAAAAGTAGATTTAAACATATCCATCTAATCTAAACCTTGATTTAACTAAGACAGCAGGACAAGCACCTGAAAGTGATTCCTGGAACATTGGAGCAACGCGTCGCAGCCTGAGATCTGACAGTGTGCTGCATGGAGGTGGCTGTCACCAGGGAGGAAGGACCGGAAACCTCCTGCAGCATCCACTGCAGAGAAAGACCCCAGGACAGGCCCCCATACTTCTGACCCTGCCATCTTCTTCCCTTCTAGGTCACAGGGAAGAAGAATGGCAGTGGAGACACCGGGGAGTTCCTTCCTGAGGATTTCACAGATGGAGAGTATGAAGCTGCTGTTACTTTGGAGAAGCAAGAGGACCTGAAAACGCTTCCAGCCCACCATGTGAGCCTTGGGGAGCAACAGTGGAGAATTGAGAAACAACGAGAGGCAGAGGTAAGAGCCTTCCATGAAATCCACCAGTGGGAGGTTGGGAATGGAGTAGGGGATAGAGGTGTCAAGCAGGAAAAAGGAAACAAAATGCCCCCACTTTGAAGATGTTTCTTTACCAAATTTGAACCTATAAAGAGGTAACTTCTATGGGACAGGTTATGGGAAATAATTCTTTGGCGAGACTATGGCCTCTGGATTCTGAATCAATGATTGCATGTTCTATGAGCGTGCTCCAACTGAAAGACTTGGAAAGAAAAATGTGTCCAGTGAATTTCTTGTCATACGCCACCTAGTTAACCCCAAGCAAGGGAGACCTATTTTTTCTCAATAATGTGGTTTCTGCTCCATGGATCATTGTTTGACTATGTCTGCTATCTGTGTTGATAAGATCTTTGCTGCTGGGTGAATTTTCATGACTTACTAACTGCAGATAAAACATGCATTAGTTAGCTGTAGTCCCAGGACAGTCTGTTTAATGGACTCTGCTTAGAGGACCACCTGAAAGAGATCGACATTGATATTTCAAAGTGTAGCACTTATTAATAGATTCTTTGGGGGCAAAAAAACTTCTTGAGTATGATAAGGAAAAAAACTACAAAAATCTTGGCTTTGTTTATGGCAGTAATTACAAAATCATCAGAGACTAGGTCCTATCTCCAATTAGTCAAAAGCTGATGCTACATGTAAGAGAAGTGAAGATGAAGGTAATTAGCTGAAAAATTAGACCCCTCAAATACTTGAATAAGAAATCACTGAATCAAAAACAAAAATTTAATTAAAAAATTATTTTTACTCAAACTGTTCACATACTTATCTCAGATCTTAAAGATTTTGTTTAGACAAGGCCAGAATGCTTTTCAGTAGAACTCACCATATACTGAAATATGGATTTCTTTTTCAGCTCAAGAAGAAAAAACTAGAACAAAGATCAAAGCTTGAAAATTTAGAAGACCTTGAAATTATCATTCAACTGAAGAAAAAGAAAAAATACAGGAAAACTAAAGTTCCAGTTGTGAAGGACCCTGAACCTGAAATTATCGTAAGAGCTACTTGATTTCGTAGTATTGCATGTCTGATGTGTATGCTACAGGGAATAAATATCTGTGTAGGGTTTGATTGAATGTTGGAACACTCATGGTAACTTTCAGACTATTTTTGGCTTCAGACAGAACCTGTAGATGCGCCTCGCTTTCTGAAGGCTGCCCTGGAGAATAAACTGCCAGTAGTAGAAAAATTCTTGTCAGACAAGAACAACCCAGATGTCTGTGATGAGGTAAGGCTTATACAAAGCACTGCAAAATCCAGCTCATTAATTTTGCGTTTCTTATGCTTTACTGCAGCCTTGCTAATATAGTGCCAAAAATCAATCCACCTGAAACAGTTTCCCCAGCTGTTGCCACATATGCCAGCAGTGTAATAGGATAGTATAGGGTACCAAAAAAAAACAATGTAGAGATCGCTGGAGATGGCGAGCTCCGAGACTCCCTCTATCTTCTGTGTGTAATAGGAGTATAGGGTACCAAAAAAAAAAAAAAAAAAAAAAAGCTGGATTAGTGCTATGAATTGAATCATTTTTTGCACTCTCATATACTTTTGGTTGATTTTTCAGTTTGTCTTTAACTTCTTACATCCTTGAGATAGACTTTTAATTAGGTAAGGCCAACAAGTCACCTTTACAGAAATATATTATTAGCATTATCTCTGATTGGGTACAAAACATCAGCTCTAGATAGGGAATCTAGAGACTGGAGTTCAAGTGCCAGCTCTATCACTACTTCACCACTTGATTTTTAGAAGGTAATTTTTATTTTCCGGACCTTACTTCCTTATCTATAAATAGAAGGCATTGGTGTGAAATGGTGCCTAAAGTTGTTCCAGCTTTAATAGTCTATTCATCCATTCATACGAAGCCAATTTACCAGAAATCACTAATCCTTTTTGTATTCTTTCCCCCATGAATTGAAAGAGGGAATTATTTCTGAAGTTGAACTAAAAATGAGTGTCCCGTTTTCTTAAAAATGAATTGAATATTTTTTGATATTTAACCCAGAGACAGTCCCAGATGGAAGAAAACTGTCTGATCTGCATGCAGATACAAACAATGAAGGCACAAAATACAAGAAAGGAAAAATCAGCATTGAACCTCAAGTTCACATCCCTCAATGTAGATCTCTGGGCACTTAGGAATGTACATTGCAGGGAGCTCAGATCTCAGTTGCAGGATGAGTGTTCTGATTGTGCAATTTTAGTGAATTTGACATTTCTAATTCATAAAGAAGCCTCCAATTTTCTATCAATGAGGTCATCAGAGCATCCAGATTCATACCTCCTAGAAAGGATTTATGCACTTTTTAAGGTATTTCTCTCTCTCTCTCTCTCCCCACTTTTAATATCTATTCTAACAGTATAAACGGACAGCTCTTCACAGAGCGTGCCTAGAAGGACATTTGGCAATTGTGGAGAAGTTAATGGAAGCTGGAGCCCAGATCGAATTCCGTGATATGGTAAATATATTTCTTTGCTTGGAAACAAGCCAAAATGAGTAGACTGTATGAAGCTCGAGGAAACCTACGATGAAACACGGGGCTGACTGGATTGAAAATTGATCTGAGAGAACTAGGCCAAAGCTTATTTCCCCATACGAAAAAAAGTTGGGAGATGGGACTAGGTCATGTGGAAAGTATTTTCTATACATACTGAGAAGGAGAGGAGTGATCCAGGGAAAAGAAGGAAGTGAACGCTGTTGAACAGAATTCAATATCCTCATCAAAGAGTTGGGTCATTATCAAGTCAGTAGCATTACTGAGAAGTAATACAGTCGACACTTGCCTTTCAATGTCCCTGTCCTTCCATTATACACGGCAGTCTGCCTGTGGCCCCTTGGCTGCCAGCAGTGAATCAGAATTCTCTAGCTGCACACCTTATATGATAGATGCCGATTGCCATCGATGAAATTTGAGGCTAGACTGAATACTAAATGAATTGCATCTATGGAAAGCAGCTGCTATTCAGACCTCAATAATTCAACCATTCTTATTTCTACAAAGACCAGTATATAGCATATTTTACGAACTGAAATTGAGCTGGAGAAATGCTTTATTTAAATGCAGCTCAATTTGACTTTACAGCGAAGTAGAAAAGGAATATCAAAAGAGTCCAAAGGATTTGGCCAAAATTGAACCCGAAAGACAAACACACAGAAAAACAATTAAAGAAACAAAAATAAAGTTTGCATGGAAAAACACTAAAATTCATGAGTGTGGGACTTGGAAGGCCAGGGATGTACCAAACAGATCGGTGAAGAGGGCATCTTCTGAGTAAGAGCAGTGTGCAGTGACCACAAATGATAACAATCGAGGTAAGAGGCTGTGCTAGCACAAATGACAGCAGAAAACCAGCAAGAGATGAGGAAAAAACAGCAAGGACACAGGAAGAGGTGTCAGATCCAGGTTAAAATCTTTTGGAAGAAACTACTTTTATTCTGCCAGAATTTTAAAATACATTTGTCTAGAAATTTTGAGTATGTGTATTTGGCAAAAGTGGTTAAAGTTCCAGGCAGATGTGGGTTTGAATATCTATTCTGCCACTTACTTACTAGCTTTTTCATTGGGCAAGAAACTTGAGTATTTTGAAAGGAGCCTTGTTTTTCTCATCTATAAAATGAGCACAGCAACACCTACCTCATAACGTTGCTGGGAGGATCCACGCATCTAGAGTAGCACCACGCTGGTATGAGAAAATTCTCAGTAAAATTGTAGTTCTTATTTTTTTAGTTAGATTTATTAAGAGTCTCCTAATGATGCACACGTATGCACACAGATATACATACACATGTGAGTGCATATACTCACATTCACACACATATTTTAGCTAAAACATTTGGCAAAGAGCCTTCGACTAGAATGCCTGGAAGTGGCCATCTAGCAAGGACAGCCATTGTTACCACCGATGCCCTAGCAAACCTGATGTTCTGGGCCTTAGAAACCAAGTATTAATTCCTCCGAACAGATTCTTCTTTATATTAAGTCATGTCCTTGTACCTTCCGGGTATAGCTTGAATCCACAGCCATCCACTGGGCGAGCCGGGGAGGAAACCTGGATGTCTTAAAATTGTTGCTGAATAAAGGAGCAAAAATCAGTGCCCGGGATAAGGTATTCCTGCTCTTCCGGCCCTGCCCACACCCTCCCCTTCCTCTCCTTCTCCCTCCTTGCCTTCCCCTCCGTCTTTTATCTCTCTTTCTTCCCCTCCTCCTCACCTTCTCCTCTCCCCACCCCCACTCCCAAACCCCTCACCACTGTGATCAGCTGAGAGGGCCACTTCCCCCCTCTCACGCGCCTTGGGGTTTGGGACCGTTCCTGTCCTCAATGCCCAGCAAATCAGCAGCATTCCTCAATTTCCCAGTTGCTCAGCACGGCGCTGCACGTGGCGGTGAGGACTGGCCACTACGAGTGCGCGGAGCATCTCATCGCCTGTGAGGCGGACCTCAACGCCAAAGACCGGGTGAGCGGCTGGGCAGAGCTGGCTTCACTCCTTTTAGTTGGAATCAATTCCCAGCCAGGTACCCCCACAAGACTCCCTTCCTGGCCTCGGGCCCGCCTTTAGCCCGTTCACTCTTCTTCTCTAGGAGGGAGACACCCCCCTGCATGATGCTGTGAGACTGAATCGTTACAAGATGATCAGACTCCTGATTATGTACGGCGCCGACCTCAATGTCAAGAACTGTGTAAGTGCTCCAAAGCAGGGGACCCACTAGCAGGCTTTCACATTTACAAACGCGTATCTCGCAAACTTGACATTGGTCCCACAATGGTAGTATCTCAGGGGTCCTCTGATGGTTTAAATGCTCCTATCCATTCTATTATGACACTGCTAAACTTGGCAAGGACTCAGGTCACCCGGTCAGGGATGGGGGAAACCAAAGTGAGTGCTATGACTGTGTCTAGTAATTCTTTTAAAAATTTGGTCTTGAAAATACAAGATGGTCAAATCGCTCACCTTCACGAACACAAGTTCAATCTTGGCCTTGGCCATCCCTAGCTGAGCAAAGCCTGGAGTGGTCAGGAATACAGACACCCACCATTCCTGAAGTGGTTTAAAGTTCTGCAGCAGTCAAAGCAGCTAAGAGCCAATGAACACAAATTAATGTCTAATCCGGGTAATTCTGAATAGTCCTCCCCTCCTTACAACAGCATGACAGGCTACCACTTTCTTCTAGTGGTAGCTGTGTTTTTGCCTATATTTTTGAGATAATTTCCATCTATTCTCCACTTTGGTTTATCTGCACATTCCTCAAAATAATTTCCTATATTTAGGTCCTGAAAATGCTTGTATAAGTCCCTTCTACAAGTATGTATTAATTTAGCTTCATCTGTAATCAAGGAACATAACCAACTTCTCATGGTCCCAATTCCCAAACACCATCTAATAAAAGCTTTAAAAATATCACCCAGAGGAATGGGTGTAAATTACTGAAGAAATAACTTGAAAGCTTTTGGAGAATCGCTTTAAAAAAAAGAAGGAAAAGAAAACCCCAGTGATCGTACAATGCGAATAATTTCTTCTCCTTATTGTGCTACTATAAGACTGAGAGGAATATTTTATCATTTAAAAAAAAAAAAACCAAACTGCCTTGGTAACAAGAACAAAGAATAAATGCAAGAAATAGAGACTGGTTGGGAAAGTGTTAACAGTAGGGGTCCCTTGTCCTTGATATTGGGATTGGTCTTATCTAATAACTTGGATAAAGTACTAGAAAAAAGAGTATATTCAATGAAATCTCCTAAGCTTCAGAAAATATGATGATCTTTTTCTCTGGCAGTGAGACACTACTAGCAGAGATAAATAGCATACAGATTTGGGGAGACTGTAAGTAGCCAGAAAATCAAGAGATAGATTTCGATAGGGAGCAGGGAAAGGAGTTTATGGAGGAATAGCCAAAGATATACACATAAGGCTCAAGGCTCTGAATATGAATTAGCCCCAGGCATAAGAGTTAATGTCATTGACCCAATGGGTCAATATTTCCCCAAAACACCCATAAGCTTTGGACACCCTCCTGAAAGGGATTGGAGACAACACAAACGATGTTATTCAGTTGTTGTCCAAAACTCTGTCTTCGCATCTGCTGATCAGCGTTTCTCAAGGAAGACGCTATTTGCACAGGGTCCAGGCAGATCATATAAGTGACTTAAGTGAGTGCCTGTAGGGGTTTGTGCATGTAACTTTTAAAGGTGGAGGCTCTTCCCCAATCCACTCCATTGTTGCTCTAAGGAACCACGGGTATCATGCTGCCAACTCTTCTGATTTTTTCAGAGACCACAAACTCAGTTGGGAAATCTCTTAATTTCCAACTGTTAACAATTCATTCCAACTTTTAAGAAATCTAAGCTCTGTTTGGTCCAAAACAGCTCTCTACACTGATTTGTGTCTCAAAGCTGCCAGTTTACATTCTCTGGGTTAAAGAGAGACTTCTGAATTAATAGAGATGGAAAAATTTAGGACTTCTCTTATTTAAAGACAAGAATTGAGAGGTGACATAGTCTTAATTTTTGTAAATATCTTGAGACATGTTCATAAAGGAAACAAATTTTGTTCTTGAAAATTATTCACACATCATTGACGTCACCTCAAAGAAAAATAAATTTATGGGATAACTCAATGTAACTTCTGAGCAGTTGTGAAAGATCTACCCTATGGAGCAATAATAGTACTGAGAAGTACCTGAGTACTTAAGCCAAGGTGTTGAAACAGTTTGGTTACCACCGGTTTTTATTAATCAAGGAATCATTTTCCAAATAGAAAGGAACTGGTTTTTGACTGCAGAATGCTGGTGATATACAGAGGCATTTTTTGAACATCAAAATGACTTGGCATGCTCTTGCCATTTTGTGTCTAGGGACTAGGGATTTTTATCAAGACCTGAAATACTTCCATAGGGGGAAAAAATGCTAATCTAGAAGACAAAAGCATTCCCGTGAGAAAAAGTGAAAGACTGGTTTGAATATAAACTGCAAATCACTCATAGAGGAAAACATGAAATACTTCAATAACATACACCTATCCATCACCTCATTAAACATACACAGAGAGAGGATGTGAATTTACAGATGCCTCCCATCTGGAAGTAAAATTTTCTCATCTATTTTGATTAGGCTGGAAAGACCCCGATGGATCTGGTGTTACACTGGCAGAATGGAACCAAAGCAATATTTGACAGCCTCAAAGAAAACTCCTACAAAACCTCTCGCATAGCTGCATTCTAAAAGAAACGGCGACAGATTCTTTGTCGTCTGCTCTTCACCGGCTCTTGGAAGGCTCGGGCCCCAAAGAAGAGCAACTAGTTATGTAAAATCCAGCTTCTCTTTATCAACCTGTTGTCAAGCCACACCTGATGAAGTTTTGAGAAAGCACGGGAATATTGGTATTGAAATTTCTCTTAGCGAAACTCTATTTTTCTTTTTGTATTTATTCCTGTGTATTTATTTTTAAATGTACTCGATACCACTGATACGCAGATCCTTTATGATCATCCATTTGGTGAGGAAAGCTTAATTCATATATAACACTTCAGAGCCTTCCTGTTGATAATTCTCAAACCGAGGTAATAAGCAGTGCTCTCAGCACCTACTTTTGTGTCCCCTCACTCATGTAGGATATTTCAAGCTGTTTCTAGAAGACAAAGGAGATTATTGCAGCCCTCTTTTCTCCTGAATTTTTATTCCTGAAGTTTGAGGCATTTGAAAGCATGTAGTGACAGAAAAGGAGACAGTAGAATGAAAGAGATTGTCCTTCTGTGAGAAGGACAATAAAGTCAGACATTTTTTGCGGGGCCTGGTATTACCAAGTCACGCACTGTACCAAGGTGAAGTGAATGTCGTGAACGTAAGCAGAGCGCAGTGGAAGGAGTGGGCAAGGAGTGGGCAACTGTAACATGCAGAATGGAATTTTCTCAAAAAAAGATGAAGGCAACCGCAAATTGTAAATGTGTAAATGTATATGATGTCATATGTATATTTTATATTCATAATAAAAGCAAATTCTAAACCTCTTTCTAAACACTTCTATAAGTACAGTGGGACAGAACCATGTGGAAAAGACCATTTAGATGGGGTTTTTCTCAGTCTTCCAAGTTTTTCAGATTAGGACTGTCCTGTAGAACAGTGCTTCTCAGTATTTAATACGTATACAGATCACCTGAGGATCTTGTTACACCGCAGATTCTAGTTCTGTTGTCTGGGGTAGGACTTCAAATTCTCCATTGCTAACGAGCCCCCAGGTAATGCAGAGGCAGTGGTAAGCCGCAACTACACCTTAGCAGCAAGGCTGCGAAAACCATAAAGATACCAAGGAATACAAGTTCTTTTGACCCCGATGATGGGGGAAAAGAGACTCCTGGTGGGAAGAATTATTACTGCAAGTTAAACGTACTCCAGAAGAACCATGGGGCTCCACTAATTGAGGTTTAACAATTATTGAGGACAGTGGCTGATAGCGTCCAAGGCCTCCTACGACAAAACATACATGATCAATGACTTCTAACCTCCCAGGGTTTTGTTGCCAGGTGCTGGACCAGGTGCTAAGACTTGTGATGAGAAAACCAGATTGTCCCTGCCCTGACTCCCTGGAATAGATGAATACTAAAAAAATTATCACACAAATATATAGTAAATATCTGTTAAGTACAACGAAGTAAAAAATACAGAGTGCTGTGAGAGGTTAAGATGTGGAGGCACATCATTTGATTGGGGAGGGTATTTCAACAGACTTAAGGTGGTGGCTTTTCAGGGGACTCTGAAGGGCAACCTGGGGTTATTCAAGCACAGAATATTCCAGGCAGTAGAGAAAATGCAGGAAAGGGCAAGGCTATGGGGAAAGTTGGGCACCTTAGGAAGTGTATGAAGGCCACTGTGGAACACTAGCTCTAGTACCCCTCCCCCAAAACCCACTCCAGACAGGATCATAGGGCATAGCTTTTTAGCTGTGCCTCTAACCCTCAGAAGGGTGCACAAGCACAGTCCAAAACCAGGTCTTCAGATAGCTGGTCATGGGTACATACAGTTGTGAAAATGGTTTGAAACGTTTTGAACCTATCTAGTTTCCTAAAAATCCATAGAGCCCAACCCACAGGGACATCGGGGGCTTCCATTGTCTCCCTCTTTCCCAATCCCCTTTACCACCCTCTGCCTTCCCTCTGGGGTCCTAGCTCTAACCTCTTAGATCGTTAAGGCTCGGGGTCCTTCCACTTCTTCCAGGTAAAGCACCTACAACACAGGCAACGTTTCTCTTGCTAGTACTGATGTCTCCCAGGGCACAACTTAGCTGTTATTATCATGTGACACACTTTCTCTTTATGATGTCATCCTCAAGTCACTCTCCCCAAAAGAGCCGGGAGAGTTAGAGAGAGAAGAGAGTAAGGGGGTTAAGCACTTTTGTGTTGCCGTATGTAAAGATTTGCACTGCTTCAGAGGTAGAGGACATGAGAGACAACATGGAATAAGTTTCATAGTTCAAGGCCAACTGTTACCTAGCATGAAGGAAAAACACACTTCAGGCAAAAATTTCAAGTTTCTGTCACACAGTCAGCCAACTTTTATAAGCTCATCTTCTCACCTGAGCCAGCTTTTTGCCCACAATCTGTCTTGTGTCTTCTCACTGAAGGGAACATCCCATTGGCCTCTTGAGACTCACGGAAGTTGTTTTTGACATTCTCTTTGCCTCGCCCCTCTTTCAATGAACCACGAAGCCTTTTTACAGAGCATGCTGCTTTGTAATCTGCCCACCTCCTCCCATCCCAGGGGCCACTCCCCCAGTTCATATCACCACGGCATCTCAAAGGGGCCTAGCTGGGCTCCTAGCCTCTGGTTTACTTCCTTCCAGTCTGTTTTTCAAGTTGCAGCCAGCGTGATTTTTCTAAAATGCCATCACTGGTCAACTCATTCTCCTCTTAAAAGTCTCCAGTGGCTTCCCATTTCCCTCAGGACAAAATGAAAACTCCTTAATGTTTTCTAAAACCCTTAAACTCTGACTGCTGTTAACTGTTCTCATCTATTTCTCATTACCTTCCTAGCTAGTCTAAATTTCAACTCTATTAAATTTCCAGTTCCTTAAAAAATCCAGGCACTTGTTTTTCACATACTGTGCCAGCTCCCTGAAGGCTCTTCTTCCCACCCCACTCCATTGCATAATTTGATCCTTCCCCTTCAGGTTAACTGTTATTTCCTCTAGGAAGCCATCCTTGACCCTTACTTTGACTGTTATTCCCCTCAAGTGTGTTCCTGTTGTACTTTATTTTCTCCATGTCGTAACATCCATCATACTGCCTTTACTCCCCAGATGAGAAAATTTCCTCTCTCCTTAAACAAGGGATAGGTACACCAGTCTGGTAAAAGGGACCGGGGTAGAAACTAGTGGCATTTGTCATGTTGGATGTTTTTAAAAAACAATTTAAGGATGCTAAATCTCTCTAGAATACACACTGTAAATGTTATTCTTAGTTGTACTAACAGTATTTTTATGGAGAAAAACCAATCAAGCTTTTTATGTTTTCTGGCTTTGATGGCTTTAGGTCTTTTCTAATCCAAGCTTATTTTTTAAAAAATTATCTATTTTTCTCTAGTATTTTTGAAGTTTTTTAAAAATTTTATCTTTAATCCACCTGAATATACTATGTGTATTAGGTATGAAATAGGAATTAGATTTGTTTTCCTAAATGATAGAATGATAGATGATACTTAGGTACATTCTATGACAGGTCCTGCTCTGGGCCTGTTAATCTACTTCTCTTGCAATAATGCTATGGGTAGGGAGAATGGATGAAGCGAGGCACAGAGTAGTTATGTAATTTGCCCAAGGTCACAGGGGGCACTAGCAAGTTGGGGTTTTAATGCAGGTAGTAACTAGGCTTCAGTCTTTGCACTTAACGGATATGCTGCACGGCCTCTCCCACACCGGTAACCATTGGTTTCAGCACCACTTACTGAACAATCCATAACTTCTTATAGCTGGAGTGGACCCCCCACTCTACCTTCATCTATAAGAATTTCTGCACCCATTATACATTGTTTTAATTACTACAGTTCTGTTGCACTCTGCAATACTGAGCAAGCAGTACAAGTCCCTTACATTGTCCTGAGAAATTTCCTAGCTATTCTCATATTTATTCTTTCAAAATACCAAGTCTAAAAACCAAGCATATACACAAGCAAAAAAAAAAAAAAAAAATACACACACACACACATACTTTGCTTTCTGTTTAATTCATAGATCCAGTTAGGGGAGAATGTGATGTATAATGTCTCTTCATCCAAGAAAATAGAAAGTCTTCCTCCATGTATTCCAGTCTTCTTCAACTTCCCTTATTATTTTCATTCAAGAGTTTTCTTCATTATTTCCTACACATTTCTTGGTAAATTATGTCTCTGTGAATAGAGTCATCTTTTAAAATATTTTATAACACGTTTTTGTTAATTAAGACTATTTACTTTTGTATATTTATTTTATA